AGATCGGCTGGTTGGAAGCACAAATGGCTTTGCATTTATTTTAATAAGCAACATCGGCACAGTTTCTTGTCAGCGCCCAGGAGAGGCCTAAAGCTAGGACAAGCTAGGGCAAGTGGGAAGACTCAAGCCAGCTGCTGGCAGACTTGGGGGAAAGTCCTAAAAGTGGAATATGGCCCTTGTGGCCCTGCAACTGTAAGTTAAATAGTGCACAGACTGTGCAGAAGCCATTTAGTTACCTAGAGAGGATTGCCACGTAATAGCCTTTCTGGGAGGCCAGCTTTACGGGTTCAGTGTGGATTCTCCAATTCACATGAATTTGGGGAATTTGTTGTTTTATTTTTTTTGTATCATTGAACTTTAAACTCTGCTAAAAGATACGTTATTCTAGTTAGCTGTTGTTTTGTCTTTCAGCACTGCAGGTTGCAAGGGGATACTTAGAATAAAGAAGCAGAGCAGAGATTTCTAAAGGGAATTAGGTGCCTCGCTCCCTTAGGGTATGCTGTAAACTGCAGTCAAGAGAAATGAATTAATGATATGCTGTGAGAATTATACCTTAAAATGGAAAATATGCCCAGTAAATGATTTTTGCTTTGGGAAGCATTTACCTCTTGCTGTTTGGAGTATAGGGAAAGCATATTATCTCCATTTAATTTATTTTAATGCCCATTTGTCTTAATTATTAATGTGAATTTGAGCTGCATTCTTCACCGCATTTAAAAGCAAATCGCCCCAAGTTCAGAAGTTCACTGCACATGCCCCAAACTTTTTTTCTTCCTCAAAAGTTTAAACCAAACTTCAGTGATCTTAGTCATGTTCTGCTTGACCAAATACTGACCTTCCCTTGCAGCAGAAAGACATTTAAGCCTGCTTTCTGAAATTAAACCAAATTCTTGTAATCCAATGAGATTTACAACTGTTCAAGTTTAGTCAGATTCATATATGTTTAATATATGAGATAGGTTAATACAGTGATTTTGTTCAGCAAAAGCAGTGTATACTTTTTGAGTTTAAGTGGAAAATAAATGTGTTTTTGCAAATGTCATCAGAGTATGTCTGTAAGAAATATTCACAATATTTCTTATAACAGCACTAGGCATTATTTAGTGTTCCTTACCAAAGGTTTCTCTGTGCTTTGCTGTACACTACATTTTCTGAGAGTGCGTAGGCTGTCATGGCTAGTGACTCTTCCTCAGTGATTAGTGTGGCAGTAAGTGAAGCGTGGATATTGCGACTTGCCATATCATGCATGCCAAGTTACTATATGGCCCAACTGCTGTGAGACAAAACATGCTATTATGCTTTAGACACAAAGCCATATTGTATGAAATTCCATCCTGTCACCATGCTGAAGGAGGTGTATTTAAAAATCAAATCTTTCTTCTCTTTAGTTCTTTTTGTTAACTTTTCTGTGTTAGATACTTAACTACTGAACCCCATCACAAAACTCAGTCTTTGTCCCTCTTGAGGAATCATGTTTCAAACGTGTATCAGACAAATCGCTCGTGTTTTCAGGAGGAGATTTTGAAGAGGCTAATGGTCAAAGAGAAAGAAAAGGAAAGAAAAAAAACCCTAATTTTCAGACTTCCAAGGTTATGCACTAAATGGGTTTCTCCATACAATTCTGATATAGTAGCTGTATTTCAATATATGATCATACAGTACATTTTTCATAAACAAAAGAAGAACTTGTCCTTAAGCAAAGGGGCAAAATCAGTCGCCCATTCCACTATGGCATCAGCTGGAAGACTGACAACCTCAGGACAGCCCAGACATATTTCTTCTGCAGTGTCCACTGATTTCCAGGAATTACCTTAACAGTAGATAGGTCTTTTGAGAAGAATTTCTGTATGTTCTGTGCAAATCTCCATAAAGAAACTCAAAACCTTTATATCGATTTAAAGATGCAGCTAAGCTTAAGTAGAAGTAATGATTTGATACTTCAGTTACTTGGATGACTTTCTTTGGTCAATATTACAGAGGCTGTCTGAGCTGGCCATTATGGTCCCTTCTGACTTTAAAACCTGTAAATGCTTGGGAACTTAACAATACTAGTAATGTAGCAACTGGAATCTTCAAAGCACTGTATAAACACCTAATCCTCCCAAAACTATTCTACACATTATAAGAGCAATTAAATGCTAATATTATAGCTGATCGAACTATTTTTTCAAACTATTTGTGCAATAAATTTAGTGTATTTTCTATTTACTAATTTTAGAACTGGTTCTGTTCTTTACTGATTTATTCAAAATTATTTCATTGGTAGATGTGGTTATATTGCAACCCCAGATTTTTTTCTTTTTTTTTGGTATTACATTACGTGTATAATCTGTTGATTATTTAATATTTGGTTTTGATTCTTGATTTATCTTCTCAATGAGCTAGTATCTTTTTGATTTCTGGACTGGGAAGATAACTTTGACCTTTTACACTGCTGCCATTTAAAATATTTTCAGTTTTTTGATTTTTTTTCTTTTTAAAAGAAATACACCTTCCCAGTGCACCAAACACATTGACCATTCATTCAGTCACACTTTTGGCAGTACTGTATTCAAAAGCATGATGGTACTGGAATGTGATCACATATCATTTTAACTACAATTTGGAATTCATAAATGTTTGAATGTTTTTTTCCTGATGTTTTGGCTCACTTAATTAGCATCTTCACTCTATCTATGGAGCAGCTGATGAATGGTGCAATTCTTCTTCTTACTTTGGAGGATAATATTTCACTACTGAAATTAGTGGTCTCATTTTTCTAACTTAACAGGAGCTTTCATTTAAGATAGAAGATGTTTGTTTTGGCTCCTAAAAAGGGATGCAGCTACCTTTGTGGGGAAATAAAAACTTTAGTGAAATGATTTGCCAAGACCTCTCAGCAAATAATTGGCACAGGTGGGATTAGGACACAAGACAGGCCTCACTTACTCAATAAAACCTCTGATCCTTGGGAATTTTAGATGTGTAGAAGAATTAAATCCAAGTTTTCCCTGGATATTTTGCCTTCCTTTTCCTTTTCTTAGTTATGCTTAGCTTCTTCTCATGATAGTTTGCTGTGTTCTCTAATTAAGTGTTCATGTAGTTTTTACAAAAGCTGAATTAAAAAAAAATCAATTCTTTTGTACAGTTTAGTTTACAGACAGTGACTGTTTCATTCAATATCCTGTATTTTATCATTAATTGGAAATGAAAAAGAAGAGAGAAAAATGCTACCCAAAAGAAATGTTAGGGTTTGTTTCTAAAGTAGCAATATCCAACCCAAACCGTGGGAATTCTGTAAGAAAGATTATGACTGTTGAGAAATAGTGGCTCAGAGTGGACAATGGTTCGGGCAATTGTTGATCCTTGGATAATTTCTGGATGTGTCCTCTCTGCCCAGGACGGGCAGATCAGATGATAGACATGGCATTCAAAAATCGCTATACTGCACTAGACACTAGAGATACACAAGGCAGCGGTACATTTCTGGACCACTAAAATAGCATATCATCCATATACCAGCACACAATTTAGTATATTAAGCACTTGTTTTGCTACTGTGTGGAAAAATATCAAGAAGAAAGTCTGCAGAGATGCTTTTGACTTTTAAAATTCAATAGACGCTGCCTAGTCACACCGAGTGACTAGTATGGACAGGCACAAAAAAGTTGTGTCTATGACATTGGTGACTTTTACGTTTTCACTGGCTTATTTTTTTCTGTTTGTTTAATTACCTGTTTTCAGTGTTATTCAGTGTCTCCATTGTCGGACATAGTTTTCAGCAGTGCATACACTGCTGACTGATGCTTATAAATTATGCCATTGTCAGCCCAAGCTTAAGGGCCAGAAAATGAAAGAATAACTCTGTTTCATACGTCTTTCTTGAAAGGTATTCCAGAAAGCCATCTAGAGTGGATGCAGAATGAGAATTTGCATGAACCATGCTGTAGGATTATTGATTTTGGAGGAAAATAACACAACCTGTTTCAAACACTGCAGTATTTTGGACTACAGTTTACTCTCTCTGTATTTGTAAACTAGTGCAATGAAAATAGGAGACCTTTTACACATTCTGACATTTTTACTGATGAGATCTTTACTGAGTGAGACATGCTAGAATTTGTAAAGTTATGTACCAATTGATAATAGCAGTATAGTCAATGGGTACAAGATCCAGCACCTCTTTTCTGCTTGAGTATTACAAAAAGTTTGGTGTTTTTTTAAGGCTTAGGAGGAGGCCGTAAGATACCCAACCAAAGCCTAATTCTGCTGATTACTATTTTCTTCTTTCCTCTACAGATTTCTTATTTTTTATTCCATCTGTTTTTATTGTGTTTTGACATAACGCCTATAAACATATAGCTGCCAATAAAACAATGAGTTTTCTCAGAATTCTCTAGGGAGCTCAGAAAACAAGTATATTTTATTTAAGAATCAATGTTTGTGTTGCATTAATACCTAATGAAGAATCAGCACCCTGCCATGTGAGTGCATGAAAAAGAAATCAGTACTTCCCCAAAGAGAAGTGCCTATATGTAATGTGATACATATGTAGTGTTAAGCATTGTTGGATTTTAATATTTGTTATTTCATAAAGTTGTAGAAATACTACTGTTTCAGTTTGTATTTAATGTTTTTAGATACTAATAACCATTTGTTTCCAGCACTGTAAATTCTCAGCCTGCCAGTATGTTCAAATAAAGTGTAAATGGAAAAGTCTGTACAGTAATAGCCTGCTTTCAAAATGCTCTTGCTTATGAGGAGTGGGTAGGGCATATGTGACTTGCTGTATTATATGCTCTAGATGTAAAATTTGGTTGGATTTTGAGATACTGATCCAGAAATAACTCATTGTCTCCTTAGCCTGAGCAATGTATTTCCTGGCACTGCTCCAAAAGAGACTTAGGGAGACTGACTAGCAAGACTGTTTCAATGGTGCTGACTATAGGTGCTATTAGTAAACTGGATAAAGAAACTCTTTTTCAGAAAAACAAAAAAAAGTCGCCTTGTTTGTGTTTCAGGCTGAGCTATGTGAATCATGCAGAAGATCTGGCCTCCAAACTACTCCAATGTTTCCCAAAGAGCAGATTGTCGGCGCAGGCAGCCCTGAGCCACGAGTATTTCAGTGATCTGCCCCCACGGCTATGGGAGTTAACTGATAGTGAGTATAACCACTTCCACATCGATTAAAAATACAGACACTGGTTTCTACAGACGCGTGAGCATGGATACTTGCATGTGTGCAAGCACTCACATGCAGACATCTTCATGGACACGTACCCCCCCAGACAGAGGCTGTGTGTGCAATTGTGTAGCTGCAATTGCAGTTAGCTTGACACAGGAAAAATGGATTCTTGTTTTGCTATCTCTGCTCTGCAGTCTGTAGCTAGCTATCTTTGTATTTGATTATGTGCGCAGCCAAGAGAATTATCTGAATTGTCATAAAGCAAAAGGAAAAATACAATTTACATATTTAGTGCTTTTCACTTTGTAATACACAGTACTTTCTAACTAGCTGCAGCACACAGGATAAAAATCCAGCAGGGTTTGATTCACAGAAACTCTATCTGTTATAAGAGTAACCTTTAAGAAAGGACTTGGCATTCAGAAATCTGAGAAACACAAACTAGACAATTGGTTGATTTGTTGAATTAAACTGTGTAAGAAGAGGATTGCAGATGATATTCCTAACTGAAAATGCTTTCAGTATTTACACACATCTCAATTTTTTAATAAAAAAAATGCATTCCAGTTGACTTGGCAAAAATGTTCCTATCAACACATATGCTATTAATTCTCTCTTAAATATTTGTAAATCATTTATATCATACAGCTCCTTATCTTTTTCTAGAGAGTTAAAACATTATCACTCATGATGTTTTTGATTCAGAGAGTGTTCTGAAGGTTTCACGGGGGAATAGCAATCATTATTTTGATATAAATCAATATGGTGAAGAAAGGCATTCTTTCAGTAGAGTCGTATAAGCTATTCCCTGTTTCAAAATGTACATCTGTTAGCAGAACATTCAGATCCAGTACTCTGAAACAAAAATTTCCGGTTGAAAATGCAACTCTGGCACAGAGGTGCATAAATGTGGGTGGTAGAAGTTGTCATTTGTGGCAAGTTTGTTTATAAAGTTTGCTTATTCAACGACAGTGTTTGTTTACTTCAGTCGCAGGAAGAACAAATCCACTCTAGAAGTTTAGCTATTCAGTGTTCAACACTCGAGACAGCTACAGCTGCAGCAAGTTCTGGGCACTGGCAATCCAAGTTCCTCCTCCTAACTCTGCTCTGTAACCTGCTCTCCAGCTGGTAGATCTGAACATGAAAATCAGCCAGCAACACTCAGCTTTTGCCCAGCACTGGTTCTGCTGTAGACCTTGTCCTTGCCCTGCAAAAGACTTGCAGTTTCTGCCCTGTCAGACTAGCCCTCTGCCAACCGCACTGCGCCTTCTGACCACAGTGCCTTAGAAAGTGGAAATTCAAAAGATAAAATGTAAAGCAACGCTGCTGTTGAGAGTCTGTCATTGCTGAAACTGCAATGCAAAGAGATTCTTTACTTCAGGACTAATGAAACATCAAGAATGCCAGGTCATTTATCCTTCTGCCACTAAATGGAAAACAAAAATCACTCTGCATTGGTGACATCTCAATCGTTCTGACTGTGTGATTTAGTCTAGCCAGGATTTTGATAGTCTCTGAATTCTGAATTCTGCAGTAGTACTTTTCTGTTAATATGGACTTATTACCCACTTGCCACTTAGTTTATCAGTCAGTGGCTAAATCCAGTTCTATCAGCGAAGTAAATGCCTACACATTATCACTCTGCAGCAGGCTGCCAACAGAGACAGTCTTGTCCTAGTCATTAACAAGCACAATGTATGCAGAACACCAGAGGGGAATTAAAACCACAAAAAATACCTCAGGGTGGTATTTTTAATATGAGAATTTAATTTGTAATTTCACAGATTAAGAATTTTGGCTGCATTAATCCTTTTATCAGCTCACAGCAGGTTATTTGCAGAAGCATAACCATAAGGCGATATTCATTGGCAGAAACACGTCTTTGCATAACGTTAAACATCAGGAGCAGTGAAACCTTTTGAAGGGGGGAGAATAAAGATGAAAAATCATTATATTTTAAAGCAAGGTTCTTCTAAATGCCTCCAGTAAAATTTTGAGTTACAGAAAGACTATTTCTGTGTCTAGTAGATAATCATTATGAAGCATAAATCCAGATGCAAGAAAGGACAATCCCAGTATCAAATACTACAATCATTTCTGTTTAGTATGACTTGGATATACTTGTAAACATATTTACAAAACAAAGAAGTCACATACTTTGCAGACTTGGGAAAATGTTTACTGTGTAGTGAAATTACCAGTTTTTGTGATTCTAGTTGTCTGGGTTAATATTTTACATTTGGAAAGACTTCCTACTGATAGTTAATTAAAGGTAGGTATAAATACATGGAGACTTTATGCACAACAGAAGTGTGTGTGCACGATATGCAGTCCTGTAATCAAAATACCACCACAACAAATCTGTGCTGTGGATGTTATTCATTGTGGAATACATTTTATACAATTTACTCCTAGTACTCAATTTCGAATTTGGGGAACACCAAAAAGAAAAAAAAAAGAAAAAAGAAGAGGAAAGATGCACAGGTGTGGAAGAGAAAGGAGAAAAAGTCAGGAAAAGGTTGTCCGTTAGAAAATATTGTTTCATTGGAATATAAGCCTTGAATATGTTTAGCTAACTTACTTAAACAAAATGAAGTCTAACACAACAGTTCAGGTTCACGGGTATCAAGGGTTTTGATGATGGAATACCTGATGTCAAATTACTAAAAAATCTTGCTCTATTTTTCTTACTTATTTCCAAATGCTATCAAAGAGGAAATTTTAAAATGACAATATTAATTATACAGTGGTGTAAGTACAAGTAACCGAAAAAAAATCCCTGAAAGCCTATCTTTTAACAAAATGTATACAACTAAGAATGGCTGCATCACTCCGCTTCCATCAGAATTCCTGTAATTTATTTCCATGTAAAGTTTTTATGGTGCTTATTTGCATAAATGGGTGGTATAGATGAAAGCTGTATTTCTTCAAATCTGTATTTGCTGTAAACATATAAACTAATATTTTTAAATGACCTTTTGATGAACTATTCATATTTCTGAACGGATGCCCTTTTTTACAGTGTCTTCTATTTTTACTGTACCGAATGTAAGATTACAGCCAGAGACTGGAGAAAGCATGAGAGTCTTTGGAAAAAACAATAGTTATGGCAAAGGTGTATCAAACAGCAAACACTGAAGAATATCTATGCTTACAACAGATGATGCAGGTAAGGTGATTATTGTTAGATATTTCTTTGAATAGACTGGTTACTTTAGTTCCCTTTGGAGAAATAAAATATAAAATGGAACAGCGCATTTCTTAGATTGCCCATGTTCAGGGAGATAATCTGGTTTTGCAATATAGATCATCAGTAAGTTCCTGGCCTCATGGGCAGGATCAGCGTGACTGACAGGTTGAGAATGCTGAAGAAATCAGTGCCAGCAGATTAAGTACTTGGTTGTCTTTAATTTGGACTGATTTTTTTCCCCCTAGTAAGGCATGGAGCAAGATAATATATCCTGCCTGTTCTGTTGTTAAACTTTGGTGCAGGAACAGAATGATGAGTTTAGTAGATCTGGTAGCCTTAACTCCTGGGCAGCAGAAGCATATTCTGGATGGAGTCAGCAGTGCTGGCGTGCAAATACGTTTGATCTTTCCTATTAGAACTGTTTTTGTTCTTGGATGGCTTTCGTTTGATACCCTTCTCTTTAATGGTAGCTATTACAGCAGTAAAATATTGTGGAATGTGATTTTCGGTACTGTAACAGTAGAAGAAAATTTGTGAAGGGCAGGGGAGGAGGGAGGCTACTTAAGAAGTAACTTAAAATAAGGGAATGACTGTTTTTATATCACACTCAATTCTGTTCTCATCATACACCCCCTATTTGCTCAGTGGGACTCACGACTTGACAAACTCTTCCACATGAGCCATATTCCCTTACTTAGATGTTCTGACAAAGCTTGCTTCCTTTTTTCTTTTTGTCTTTTTTCCTGAGAGAGGAACATTATGGTGTATTTTCTTCCATTTTTCAAATCTGTGAAATAATCTATGCCAGCAATTTTATATAAACACAATTTTTAATGAGTGTGTATGCAAGTGTATGTATAAGAAGCGCATAAGATATAAACGAAATAGATTCATATATATGTTCAGTCATAATAATTTAATACTCATAATGTTTTATAAAATGCCCAAAGTGCAGATATGCTTCACTCAAAACCCATGGCTGCCTTTCTTCTAGTCACGTTTACTTTTTAACATTAAGGCTATTGCAATGTTTCACATGGCGAATATCAAATAATTTGATATGGAAGTTCTAGGAGATGGGATAAACATAAATGCTGTCCTTGAACCCATCCGAAGGTATAGCCTGATATTTATGTGGCTGACAATCTCATTAAGTCTATCCTTAGCTATGCCTGCTTGTTACAGTATCACATGTAGACTTTCGCTAATTATATTATATTTGCTGTTACTCATTTATGTGCAATTTTTGTTAACCATGTAATACTGTGGTGTTTTTTTGCATGACAGACAGCAGCTACTGGAAACTGAACCGAGTAGCTTTCAGCCCTGACAACCTGCCCCAATTTTTGTACATGCTCTTTTCCAGCAAACCATTTAAGATTTTCTAATGTCAGAAATGAGGCCGCCTCAGTGCAGTCTGTTTACATCTTTATTGACAAGCTAATCCCTACTTTTTCCTGGGGCTGTGTCCCTGCAGACATCTCTTCAACCTTGTCTGTTCCAACGTGACATATCATCCATCTAAAGTAAATTTAGAATGTGCCCATCTGTGCTAAAGACCTTTTGTGTGGAAGCTTATGTTCAGAATCTCATTTCCAACACACAGAATCTTCTTTCTGCTGCCTCCAAACAAATGTAATTTTGCATTTGTACAAAAATATGCAATAGGAAGTTTGTATTTGAAAACTAGCACGTAAAACAGCATACGAGAGAACAGCTTGACGGTTTCTACCAGATGCCTATTTTAGCATATACAGGGGATTTTTTTTAAATCTAGCACCACATTTACTTTTGACATTCACCTCTGTGCACTGTTGTGGCTACTCACCCACAACATTTACACAGAATAACACCTCTCAGCAGCCTGTCTTCAGGATAAGGCAGGTATATGCCTTTTTTTACTCACCTGCGTAAATTCACCTTATGCATATATAGGTAAGGAAATCAAAAAGGATGAGATCTATCTAACCAGATGCAGATACGTGGATCATAGAGATTCTCTTTATCATTAAACAGAAATACATGCTTCTAGAGCATAGGCCATCTTGTTCCGGAGCTGACATCTAAAATACATCTAATGAATGTATGAAGTATGTATGAAGTGTATGCAAAGTATGAAGTGTAAAATACAGCCTTTTCTCAGAAACATATTATTCCTCAGTATCCAAATGTGTAAATCTTGGTTACACGAGAACATGAGGGAGCACACACTGCTCTGGTAGGAGGCATGTGGTCTTTGCTCAGGACTGCCTTGTAGAGAATCTGAATTCTGGGCTGTAGCTCATTGGAATTGGAGTGGCTATTTATTTTCATTGTAAATAGTTTAAATTATATGAATATTCATCAGGAAACTGCAGAAGAGGAATATTTGTAGGTAGTTGGCCTTTAACAGACACCTAAGGGATGGCTCATTTTTCATCCAACTCCAGAACATCAGTGGTATGGAAGGAATTTCTAGCATTGTGTCTTCTCTGTGCTCCTTCCTTCCAAATACTCCAAGCCTCCATTTATTCAAGGTTGATCAGAGAATAAAATAGAGAGCTCCGACAAACGAGCTGTGCCAAATCCTGCTGTGAAAATATAAGACATTATCAGCTCCTGGTGCCTCGTCCACATGCTTGCCAGAAGTTTCTGCCCCAACAACGCACCCACTGAATTAAGGCCACCTTTACTTTGCTTTTAGAAAGCAAAGAACCTGGCCTTCACCCTGGAGGGGCTGAGACGTGGGTACACATTACCCTGCAGCAGCGTTGGAAGCAGCTATTCCAGGCAGGTGGGTAAAGGAGCGGAGCAAAAGGCTTCGTAAATGGCTGCATCATCGTTAGTTAGATCTCACCTGCTGCCTCAGGAAGGGCAGGGGACACTGGAGGGATTGGAGCATCCTGGAGAATTTTTACTGGCTTTAAAGTGTTGTAGTTCTCTACTTGCCTGTCTGCAGCGCGGCTGCTTACAAACCCAAACACTGTCTGAAATACCAGTAACCTGGGATGTGTTTCTGAAAACCTAGATAATCCCATCAGACCCAGACTATTAATATGGTCTTTGTGGGCTAAATTGTGTCATTGTCATGGACAATGCATCAGACAATGCATCAGCTCGGTGCCGTGGGGAAACAGCTGACATTTGAAGTTACCAAGGTCAGTTTGCAAAATGCTCCCAACTGGAGAAAATTAGTAAATACATAGTAAGGAGCTCCCATTCTGTACAGAAAAACATGTCGGCAGTGAATTCAGTGGGGAGAAAGGAAAGAAATCTTCTGGCCATATCCAAATGACCTTAGAGCTTTGTGATTAAACAGGATATTTTTATTCTGGGCCTGAAGATTTTCACTGCATTTTTTTCCCCTTTTCTTTTTTTTCAAGGGGCAGGAAGCATCTCCATGGAAGCTGTACTTTCACCCATCTGTACTTAGATCATTTTATAAAGAATGGACCAGGAGAAACTCTAGAGCTGCTTTTTTTTGCCCCCTTTGGCCAGGGAAAGGTACAGCATAGAGCTTGTTCCTCCGGAGAAGGATGAGTCAAACGATAATTGGAAAGACAAGGCATTACCTGATGCCAGATAGCGCACGAGGTCTGCTCTGGTAGTGCCTAAGCCCATGTCCCCATTGGTTGACCAGCGACAGGAGATGCATTTCTGACCTATTGTGTGGTTCCCCGAGCCGGCAGGGACAGCTTCATTCAGGATGGTAACACCATATGCTTTTAAAGTATTTAACCTGTATTACCATAATGAGATCCCCTGACTTTCTAAATCTCTTTGACAATTCACTGGAGCAAAACAAAAAGTGGGCTTTATTTGTATTGCTGCTCCACACGCACATGCCTCCGAGCCGGCCTGAATTGCAATTGCAGGGGGCTGAATTCTTCCTTTCTGTCCATTTAAGCCCAGGCTGTCGAAGAGCCTGTGTTGTCATTTGGGTCAGCTCAGCCCTGTAAAACAAAACGGGCTGGATAGTGACAGAAAGTGCTAGTTGCTGAAGAGTTGCTTGCTTCTGACCAGGGGTGCCCAGAAACACAGAAACATTATGCAAAAAAACCCCTTTTTTTTTGACTCCTTCAGTTTTGCCTTTCCGGATTGTGCAACAGTGCCCATTCAGTACTGCTGTGTGGGAATATAACATTTTTGCCTGTGTTGTCCTAGTCAAGCTGCAGGGAAGCTATAGTCCAGCAGTGCACGCGTCAGCAGTCAGTATTGAAAAGTCGCTGTAATTCACTGTCTCCCCACATTTCTGCTATCCTGTGTATCCCAACATTGCTGAATGACCATGAAAGACCATGCCCTCTGGGTGTGAATCCTCATCTGTCCAGCTTCAGGGGATAAAACTGTACTAATCACAGTGGAGGAAGGTCTGCACTGAAAGGGACTGAGTTGGGGTTATCAGCCAGCCAGATTTCATCCATGTTGATTTAGTCAAAAGCTGAAAGTAACTGATTGTGTTTTATAGCTCCTAAATTTTAAAATTCAGTATAAAGGTGCCCTGGTAAAGAAAAGCAGAATTATAAAAGCACAACAGTAAACAGTCTCATTTTTAAAATGCAGATTTTTTTGAGACTGATTCAAATATATGTATACAAACAGTAATTGTGCTGCTGCAGTTCAAAAGATGGAAGCCTAAGAACTGAAGATGGGAGGTTTAAATATCTTTTGCATCTTTTAGTACCAAATGATGTCTATACATGAATGTTGAGGGTCAGTTTAATTATTTAACTAATACTGGATTTGCATAAATTGGCTTTCCTAAAAAGGCTAATAAGATGCAGTTGTGGTGAGCAGCTGAAAGCAATTTGGGTTTGAGTCCTGTAATGACAGTACTAAACAGAGTTGAAATTGTAACATCAATTTTGTAAAATGTTAAATTAATATTAAGCTGTGAAAGATAACTGCAGGATCCAAGATATTTTTGGCTCTCTAATACTTTTATTGCCATTATTTTCATATGTTAACAACATAATGGTTTTATGAGACTGTTCCAGCTG